TCTGACATTCTGCTGCTGTCTTAAGGTCCAGAGATACTCCAATCCTGTGCAGTGACAAGTGAGGATCAATAGAAGCTCCAAGGAAACACTTACTTCAAGTGGTGTAAAAATTTTGTGGCTTGAGCTTCACTACAATGGCTCACAGCCTAGTTCTTTCTGTAAGCAAGAAACAAAGGAGGACTCAGCCTTGAACTGTTGTCTCCTGCAGAACTGCTTGTAAAAAGATGGTGTGAAAGATTGTAGGAAGCACAGTGTGAACAGAACACATTGAAACAGATCCAGGTAGCACATTTAAAGATCACCAAATAGCATGCACTGACAGAACTTACCCAAATCGGAGTAACTTTGTTCCCAAAGCAACTGCTCCTTTCTCTCCCCAGTCCCTCACTCTCTTCTTTCTTTCTCCCTCTGTCTGTTTCTCGCAAATTTTGTTATAACTTCTACACAACTGGAAAGCATTAGGGACCCCTCCCCCACTCACACTGCCGGCCCTTTTTGTGGGAGGTGAATGTTTGATGGGTCACGCTGGTTTTCTAACTCTTTCCAGGGCTCCCCGTGTGGCTGGTTTTGCGTGAGCGTGGTTGTGTGTGTGTGTGTCTGTGCTCTGTAAATCTCTACCATGTGACAGGACAGGACTTTCAAGGAATGCGTTAAAAAACAACGAAAGCCCACCAACCTTTAAATCCCTGACATCTTCCTCGATAAGAAATCAGTGAATGCAGTCCAGATCTTGGCACCCATTAAAACAACTTGGTCCTTCGGATATCTTTTTTTCCAGCAGTCCTACCACCATTGCCAACCCGCAACCCCCCCTCTTTTTCAAAACTGATAACTGCCAAAAAAGGCAACCCTTGTCTGCCAGTAGAACTAGTTTTCATGTTATTTTATGAGGGATGAGGTGCAGGCTGAATTTAAGCCATCTGGTAGTAAATCCAGGACTGACACGAAAAGCCTGTTGGAAACAAAGGTTACAACCGTCGATTTAAGGCCTGTATTTGAACCTCTGTCCCTGACTGGTTCAATTTTTCCGCGGTCCTGTTTACAATTCTCATTGAGTTCCAGTGAGCTTATTCTACTGTTATTTAATTGTTTGCAATGACGTTCTACGTGGAGCAGCCCTTGAAGATGGTCTGAAACCTTCAGCTGGGGTAAAATGTGTAACCTGGTGGCAAACAGGGACTTCCTATAGGGACAACATCTTGCCAGTGCTGAAAAAGTTGAGCTCGGCTGTCAGGTTGTCTTTGGGCCTAATTCAAAGTGCAATTCTGGCCTTTGCCCACCTAGGGCCTAGTCCTTACTACCTTAAAGTTGTGGTGTGGAGCCATTTGCCCTGCCTAAATTCTCTTAGCAACCTTGAGGTATGTATGTATGAAGCTCATCGGTAGCATTCAGATGCAATGCAATTCACTGCGCTTTTTCCAGTGCAGGCTATGGGTCTTGTTCTTCCTTCGTTGTCTGTATTTTTCATTTGCTGTGCTTTATGATTACATTTGCTTTGTTTCATTGCGTTTTAAATCGTGGGTATTTTTTTCCAACGTCAAAAAAATACCTCGAAGGCTGAACGATGGGTTACACATTTCGATTAATTAAATAAACGAATAAAGTTACGGCATACCGTGAAACACAAACCCATTTTCTTCCCCACTGCTTGCTCAGAAGGATCTTGTCAAGTAAGAAACACACCATATATCACATGCAGTGCTTATATATCCTAGGCCTGCTTCCACCTCCTTGGTCCGCAGAACTTTATTTTGTCTCTGCCACTGTGGTTCTAATATATCTACCTAAACTTGACAGCTATAGAGGCTGGCAGAAGGAGGAGTGACACTGGACCATGTGATGGTGTGAAGTCATATAGTAGACTTACCAGCATATTCCTATTAATTGGGTAATTGTATGCTTCGAATGGGGACGCGGGTGGCGCTGTGGGTTAAACCACAGAGCCTAGGACTTGCCGATCAGAAGGTCAGCGGTTCAAATCCACGTGACGGGGTGAGCTTCCGTTGCTCGGTCCCTGCTCCTGCCAACCTAGCAGTTCGAAAGCACGTCAAAGTGCAAGTAGATAAATAGGTACCACTCCGGCGGAAGGTAAACGGCATTTCCGTGCGCTGCTCTGGTTCGCCAGAAGCGGCTTGGTCATGCTGGCCACATGACCTGGAAACTGTACACCGGCTCCCTCGGCCAGTAAAGCGAGATGAGCGTCGCAACCCCAGAGTCAGTCATGACTGGACCTAACGTTTAGGGGTCCCTTTACCTTTACTATGCTTCAAATTAGGCCTCACTCCTTTTGGCTGTCCCTCAGATAAGTTCCACTCCAAGCCCCAGTCATGGGGCATGTGGTGGTGCACGGTGGAGCCATTGTCATGAGGGCGGCTTCCCAGTTCCACCCCATGGCATGTGCAACTAGTGTTCCGAGCCTCCGTCCTAGATCCAGCACAGAAGGAGGGAAGTGGGAAGCCGCTGAAGCTTTTTCAAAACTTCAAAAATCAAGAGAGGACATCTCCCTCAACAGCCAACACCAGTCCTGCCGTCCACCATATTTCTCCCTCGCTGCATCAGTTCTGCCACACGGTCACCAACCTCTCTTTCCGATCTCTTCTTTCAACAGTGTAGCAAAACATGTGGCGAAGGCTCCAGATATCGCAAGGTGACCTGTGTGGATCAAGATATGCAAAAGGCCGACGGCCTTCACTGCGATTCAAGCAAGAGGCCACCTGATATTGAGGCCTGCAACCTGGCACCGTGCGAATACATTTGGATTACAGGGGACTGGTCAGAGGTAAGTCTGCAGGAAGGCAAAAAGAGGGAGCCTCTGCTTTTGTGCTCTGGTCGATTGCATCCACCCAGAATGCCAAGAATAATATATGCAAATCATATATTATAATGCTCCTTGATTTTCTCCAAGAGCTGATGAGTGGTGTTCTGCAAAATAGCACTTTACGTTGGTTTGATTTGTCAAAAAGTGGGTCAGGATGGGCAATGATAGCAGGAAGAGGTTACTATTCAGTCCCTATATTTTATACCCAGCAGAGGTGCCCACTGTTGGTCCTGTTGTTGAGGGAAAAAAGAGAATTAGGCTGGGAGGGAGAAGGCTTAAGGAATTACCTGACAACTTTGAAAATAACAATTCCTTCTCATAAATACAAAGATCAGATTTCTACTTCTTGAGCAAATCTGGGCTGGCAGTTCTGCCCCCACAATGCTGAGCACACCTGTCAAGAGAAATCAGCTGCTTCCCATGTATGCCCGAGCTCAGCACAGAAGGAAACAGACGGATCCTGGCCTGTTCCTTCTGCATCATATGAAGAAGCATTTTGCACCGGGGAAAAGCCCCATCGAGAAATGGCAGTGCTATTGCTCACCTAGCAGAAAAGGGAATTTTTTTAGAGCAGAATGGAGTTGAAGCATGAAAAGAAAATGCATGTGGATGTCTGGTGCAAGAAGGAGCTAAGAGATTCAGCTGACCCTCCATTATACATTTCTTTGGGCTCACCTATATCCCAAAGCTAGATTATTGAGGGAGGTGATGGTTCTTGGTACGTTCCTTAAATGGGTAAAAGAGAGACCTGGCTATATTTCTGTACTACTAATCTAAATGGTGCTGCCATAATAAATTAATAAATTATCCAGAGCAGGTGGATTTTGCATAATATTCCCTAATTACTCTACAGTTTCAGATTCTGGGTGGGCAGGGAATGGAGTGATAAAAGAGACACAGGAGTTGGTAAAGAGTAAGGGAAAGGGATTGGGTAGTCACAGAGATTGTGCCTTTGCCACTGGAGGTGCCTCCATTTTGTTTTCCGGCCCTTTACCAGAAATGGTGCTGTTCCCAAATGGCCTCAAAGCAAATTTCCATAGCATATTCTTTCTTTAAATTGCCATAGTTCCAGTCCTGCATACATAGTCATGCTTCAGTTAGGTTCATGAGGCCTTGCCATCTATATATGAAACTCTTCTTCAAAGATAAGATTCAAGCTCTTCTTAGGCACTGATGCTGAAGGAGGGGTGTGTATAAAGGCAAAGAACTTCTATTCTTTTTTTTTAGCATTGCAGGCAAATCTTCATCTGCTTCTTTTTGCAACCACCTTGTTTACTTTGGTTTGACATCCCGTGGAAACATTTCCTGTGTAGAATTGTTTGCAGATTACAGTGTGTGGCCCATAGACTCCCTGATATTATGCTACAGGGAAACCACAGGATATTCGATCCAGCAGTAACTTGTAATATATTCTTCACCACGGGAGTGTGGGGAAATGCACTCTCTTCAATGGCAGCACATAATAGCTTATTCCCCCCATACCATGTAAAAACAATGTGATTGTGTGTGCATTGGTAGACAACAGCAAATTATACCAAAATTCCGATAAAAAAGTCTTCTGCAGAATCTCTGTATTAATTTGTTTAAGTCTTTATGTGCGTACTGCAATGATCGTCTGCAAGGGAATTCCCCACATTTGTTCATATTTTGATGAATAGTTCCCTTAAAGTGGGTTTTGCTAAGCTGTGCTCATGTGGGGAGCAACCCGAAGGAGGAATGTGGTGACAGAGACCACACATGGAAATGTAATCCTACTTATTGCAAACCACTCACTGAAACATTGTGCTAACAATCTTCCACACCAGCAGTGTTATTTTTACATATATATATATATATATATATATATATATATATATTGCAGTAAGAGGAAATCCAGACTAAACGTTTGAAAAGGGCTGGCATTTAGATGACAATAACGTCATTTGGGCAGTGCAGGGAGGAAATTGCATGTGGGAGCAGCTTTACTCCTTTTCATCTCTTTGGCACACTCTGAATTTTCAGACTGTGTCGCAGAGACAGAATACTAGCAATCCTGTCTGGGGATAAGAAGGGAATAGCAAATTTGGTGGCCAACTTCCTTGGGAATAGAGGACAATCTTTTTCCGATCCTTTACTATCTCATTTTTGGTGCCTGCTCCAAAAGGGGGAAGGAAGATATATATCACATAAAGTGGAGGTGCTGACTAGGGTATAAGGTAGTGGCCTTAAATATCAGAGGTAGGAGTGGTTAAGGGCAGGAAGGGAATAATGGGAAACACCAGATCCCACCAGTGCCTGGTGGGCTTTGGCTGGTAAGTTCTACCATGGGGTGGTAATAATAATAATAATAATAATAATAATAATAATAATAATAATAAATTTATCTATACCCCACCCATCTGGCTGGGTTTCCCCAGCCACTCTGGGCGGCTTCCAACAGAATATTAAAATACAATAGTCTATTAAACATTAAAAGCTTCCCTAAACCGGGCTGTCTTCAGATGTCTTCTAAAAGTCTCTGTTGTTCTCTTTGACATCTGGTGGGAGGGCGTTCCACAGGGTGGGTGCCACTACCGAGAAGGCCCTCTGCCTGGTTCCCTGTAACTTGGCTTCTCACAGCAAGGGAACCGCCAGAAGGCCCTCGGCACTGGACCTCAGTGTCCGGGTAGAGCAATGGGGGTGGAGACGCTCCTTCAGGTATACTGGACCAAGGCCGTTTAGGGCTTTAAAGACTAAGTCATTTATTCTTTTGTCAAAAGCTTACTTTGAGCGTCCCTAATTTACCAAAACAAATTGATTTTCTTTCTTCCCATAGTGCTCCGTGACATGTGGCAAAGGCTACAGGCAAAGGCTGGTTTCCTGCAGTGAAATTTACACAGGGAAGGATCATTATGAGTATGGTTATCAGAACACAGTCAACTGTCCAGGAACACAACCACCAAACGTGCAGTCATGCTATCTAGGCGAGTGCCCAGTTTTGGCATCATGGAGAGTTGGAAATTGGGGAAGTGTATGTTTCTAATCTTACTCCTTCTTTATTATTTGTTGTTTAATATTAATGTGTAGCCCACTCTGCTCTAAGAACAGGAAAATATAGGGGGTGGGGAATATTATCTGTCTTAAAGGAAAGGTACCTTGAAGAACCAATAGGAAATGAGGTTTGGGGGAAATCACATTAATCTGCCACAGTCTTTCACGTCTGAATTTACTCATTTTTCCCTGACTTGGAAGGAGGGGTGGGGAAAATCCATGATTTTTAATCCCCTGCTCAGCCTGCATTGATTGGGTGGCTTAACAAAATTGCAAATTTTGCTGGTGAGCTGTAAGTTGAACAACCAGTTGCTACGAACAGAAAGTAGCAGCCAACGCACAGAATATGCTCTGGGTTTGAGTGTAGCTACAGGGAGATTCTCCTTCCATCACATAGGTGTTCTCTCTTTGCCAATAATCCCCATCCTCAAGGAGAACCAGTGCGATCCTGTGGCAGCTATGGGGCTAAATCAGGCACGATCCCCCCCCCACTCCATCAAGATGGACTGCAAGCTCCTCCATCTGATAAAACACCTGTAAAACACCTGGCATCACCATGATGATCCATCATTTAGTTCAGTGGTGGGAAACCCATTTTTCTGATATGGGCTGATTCGAGCTGATAGTTGACTGGAAACTGGCTACACTCCAACAGCCCTTGAAGTCACTCCTGAGCAGCACTTGAAATTAGGCAGTGCTGACTTCAAGCCTCACTTTTAGCAGGGATTGGCTTCACTCATTTGCTCTGATTGTCTTGCATTTGGTGCCAAATTTATAAGCAACAAGTCCAAAGCTTTTTTTTTAAGGCCCCCACTTGTTCCTTCGCATTCAGGTCCCACACTTGATGTATGTGGCTGGGCATGGCTTGGATAAAACAGCCTCACAGGCCAAATGAGGCCCATTGGCTGGACTAAATGAAGAGAGGAGTCTCAGGGCACCATTAAATGGACTACTGTAAATCAAAATGTTCTCAGACCCAAATGCATTGTTATGTGGTCCTAGTGTGTCTCAGAACTATTTTGCTACTGGGAAATCCACTTACAGGATCACATACAAATCTTTCCTTTTAACACAAACCCTTCGCAATCAGAGAGCTTCTGGCATTTGTTTGGAGTTCAGACGGATCTAATCTGACTGTGACCAACCGTTTGTACGCTTGGATACAAAAATAAAATCCAGCCCATATGACTTTAGACAGAAGCGTTTCCAGCAGAGTGAGTGAGTTTCATATTTCTAAGATAGATGTTCACCTGGCTTCAGAAATTGCATTGTGCATGGCCGTTTATTGCACATTTTTGCTGATGGCCAGGGGGAGGAGGGGAGTTAATCCATTGTACTGAACAAGTGGAATAGTGGACCGTACTTCTTTCCTTGCAGTGATTATTATTGCCTTAAGATGCGGGAATTGTGGGCTTCAAAATAAAGTATATTTCCACTAGAGCAAAATAGCATTGCCAGACCTCTGGTCTCTTTGCACCCATAACCTGGGAATCAGAATGGAGGCTGCTTGAGGTCTTACCTACTTTCGGGTGTTTTCAGCAGTTGAACTGAACTTACTTCCTTTGCTTTCCAGTGTTCGGTGAGTTGTGGAAATGGAGTAATGCACCGGTCAGTTCAGTGCCTTACGAACAATGACCAAGTGAGCCCCTTGTGTCTTGACGAACTGAAACCTGAAGAAAGGAGGACATGCCACAATATTCATGACTGTAAGGGCCTTTTGCAAATTTTTTTTTTTTTTTTAAGAACCTGAACTTTCCCTTTAATGCTATAACCATCCCTATCACCAGTCAAGCGCCTATAGTTCTGTATTCCTGTCCCCACTGAATTGATGTCATGAAGCTTTACACAGGTGGGTAGCCATATGCCCCCATTAGATGCCGCTGCTGGATTTTGTGTGTGTGTGTGTGTGTGTGTGTGTGTGTGTGTGTGTCATTCTGTTTTTCAGTTAGGGGAGTTGTCATTGGCTGGCAATAGGAGCACATAGCCTTCCAATAACTAAACACCACATTTTTAAAATTACCAGGCCACTGCTGAAAGGAAATGGGACCAGTATTACTGGTGTTTGTCAGATAGATAGATAGATAGATAGATAGATAGATAGATAGATACAGATTAGGACTGCCTATGTTCAGATTTTTCCGGACATTACCAGGGGGATTTCTGTCCTGGATCTTAGGCAAGTCAATCGAAAAATCAGCTGTTTAGAGCTTGCATTCTGAAATTTTGTATTATTATTATTTACTGATAATTCATTAATTTAGGTGAATTACCAACAAGCTGCAAAGAAGTAAAAAGGCTCAAAGTCACCACTGAAGATGGAGAATATTACCTTCAAGTTAAAGGAAAGCTCCTAAAGGTATGGCTCAGCCACTTCTGCATCGTTTCTGTGTGTACATTTCATTGAATTTCCAGGGCTGCATGAGTTCTCAGAGATCAGATGACTTTGGAGAATGCCTGTCCATGGTACATTTCTAGAAGAACTAAAACTTGGTTGCTTATAGTGTTATAATCCCTCCTTTGGAAATATTGCATTCCACATTTAGCCTCATGGTCAATAGAACTCCCTGGTTCACCCAGCACATTCAACCCCTTGATTTTAAGGGGGGGGGGGAGTACACAATCCTTTTGTGTCCATGTGAGTGTGTTTGCATGTGTTATTAATCCTTTGAATTTTAATTATGTGCATGCGTGTTGAGGCCAGTTTGCGTTTTGCAATATATATATAGGTATATAGATAAATAGAAATATAGATATAGATATATGAAAAACTAATAATTCATTTCAGTTCTCTTGTGACTTCTACCTGTGTGTTTTCCATCCTTTGATTTCCTCGCCATTCATTTAACACCTAGCATTAGATGTTTGATTAAACTGAAGGCCTGTTTCTCTCAGATTTATTGTACTGGCATGGAATCTGACAGACCAAAAGAATATGTGACTCTGGCAAATGGCGAAGCGGAGAACTTCTCAGAAGTATACAGCTACAGGTAAGAACATCAAGGCACTCTGCATTTGGCAATGCTTTGTTTTCTCTTCCTGGTGTTATGTTTCTTGTCATGAGTAGAAAAGGGCTTTTCTTTTGATTCAGATTACATAACCCGACCGAATGTCCATATAATGGAAGCAGAAGAGAAGACTGCCAGTGCAGGAAAGATTACACAGCAGCTGGGTTTTCCGCCTTCAGCAAAGTTAGGCTGGACCTGAACGCTATGCAAATAATAAGTGAGTAACAATAGGGCTTTACCCTCAAAATGCTCTGTGGTGTGTGTGTGTGTGTGTGTGTGTGTGCACACGTGTGCACAATTTTCAATTTAAAGCTAGGGTAAGGTCCTTACAATACCTGGGTTAACATTTTATACTACAGCACTTTGTACTTGAATGGTCGTGTAGTTTAAAACCACCCAAAAATGGATTTCTCTTCAGTTCACTTGAAGCAAGAAAGAACAACTCTTCCTTTTAGTCTGAATTTGTTCACTTTGTTGCACATTCAGGTTGTTTCCTTCTCCCCCTCCTCCTGAACTCAGAAGCAGAATTTAAATCATAAATGTTTGCCCTGCAAGTTATGGTTTATATATGAATCCCCTGCCTTTTCTCCAGTGGCATGATAGACCCTCAGGATAAAAGGTCTATAGTCTCCCCAGAGCTCCCTTCAGATTTGAGTCCCTCTTGAAATAATAGAAATTCCACTGAAGCAGTGTGGTAGCTTATTTTTTTATTTCTACCACAGTTGGAACTGGACACAATTCCTACTGATTGAAGTGGAATTTGAGCCAGGCCAAAGGAAATTAGATTCTTTACACATGGTAGGACCCTATCCAAAGCCTGTTCATGCCGTGGGAGCGTCTCCACCCCCATCTTTCTGCCCGGACGCTGAGGTCCAGCGCCGAGGGCCTTCTGGCAGTTCCCTCATTGCGAGAAGTAAAGCTACAGGGAACCAGGCAGAGGGCCTTCTCAGAAGAAGAAGAAGAAGAGTTTGGATTTGATATCCCGCCTTTCACTCCCCTTCAGGAGTCTCAAAGCGGCTAACATTCTCCTTTCCCTTCCTCCCCTACAACAAACACTCTGTGAGGTGAGTGGGGCTGAGAGACTTCCGAGAAGTGTGACTAGCCCAAGGTCACCCAGCAGCTGCATGTGGAGGAGCGGAGACACGAACCTGGTTCCCCAGATTACGTGACTACCGCTCTTAACCACTACACCACACTGGCTCTCAGTAGTGGCGCCCGCCCTGTGGAACGCCCTCCCATCAGATGTCAAAGCAATAAACAACTACCTGACATTCAGAAGACATCTTAAGGCAGCCCTGTTCAGGGAAGTTTTTAATTTGTGATATTTTAGTGTATTTTTGGTTTCTGTGGAAGCCGCCCAGAGTGGCTGGGGAAACCCAGCCAGATGGGCGGGGTACAAATAATATATTATTATTATTATTATTATTATTATTATTATTATTATTATTCCCAGAAGAACTCAAGAAGCATTTCTGAATTCAAGTCCTCTGCTTTACGCCCAGAACAATCCTAAGGTGTCAAACGTGATGCGAAACATAATAAAGGAATAAGCCCAAAGGTGGTGGTGGTCGGATATACCATCGGTGCCCCTGTGGTCCTGAGCATATTTTCTCTATGTAACAAAAATATTGTTAAAAGACTGGCATCCTGCATATTTAGAATGCCTCCGCCTTTAAAGATAAATGAGTTGTTCCTCAATTTTAACATGCACACGTGTTACGCCGAGTGTCGCATTTAATGGCCAACCTTATTGTTTAGGGAGGATCCCAGCGGAGTCACAAGATTAATGTGTAAAGGCAGGTGCGCCATATTAAATGGGGATCAGATAATGCATTCGGTTTTCCTTTCCGTTCCCTTTGTCTCCCTGGTTCTTACCGAATATTTTTCACAGCAACCGATTTGCAGTTTGCGCAGACGCTTGATGGACGACCTGTACCTTTCGCCACTGCTGGGGACTGCTACAGTGCAGCCAAGTGCCCACAGGTATTTCCACAACAATATTTCTCAAGCCATGATTCCATTTGTTATATTCTAGCGTTATATGAATTGCTCTTGATCGGAACAGTCGCTCTCCAGCCCCTCCAAATCTAGCACTTCCCTTTGTCAGCATGGCAGGCATTGGTTTTGTATAGTCACGTTGCACCCTTTAACCACAAAGGATTGTCAGGACAGCAGACAATTAGAAGCATAATTTACTGTTCAAACAACATGAACATTAAAAAGGACAAAGAGATTAAACAGAAGAGAAACAGAAAAGAGACACTAGTGTAAAAACTCATGCCTAGAGAGCTGTTGTTGGCAACCATCTCTCTTGGGAGACAGTGAAGGAGGGAAAAGTCAGACCATTGGAAGGTTGCTGTGACTATAGAGAGCGATATGGGAGTGACATGTTTTGTTGCAGCCGGAACAGATGGAGGCGTCCGGTTGTGCTGCTGCAGATGCATCATGGCATTTTTTCTTTCCATGCTTCTTCCAGTGGTCATTCCTCCTTTGGTCACTGCTATGGGTACACAACCTGACTGTCTGTCTCCAGGCACTGCTGTTGTCTGTGAGGGATTCCCTCATGGCGGAGTTGACGTCGTCGTGTCACTTCATGCCATGTTTGCAGACATCTTTGTAATGCAGAGATGGTCTGCCAACAGGGCTGCTGTCTGAAGCCAGCTCCCCGTAGAGCACGGGCAAACAAAAAAAGGTCTTCACCGGTATCTGAAAAGATATCAAAATCAGTTGCTAGGTAAACCTTTAGACTGACCACAGAGAAAGCCCTGCCTTTGGCCCTACCCCTGCCCCTCAGCTCAGATGCCAGTGAAACTCAGAAAAGGGTGATGGAGGAAGATCTTGTGGATCTCTGGGGAGGTTTGTGTGGGAGCAAGCGGTCCTTGAGGCACAGTGGTCCTAAGCCATTTAGTTGTACGTGTGATTACATTGTTTCCTAAAGATATTGAGAGTCCTGCACAAAGACCCATTTCTTTTGTTGCAAGTGGGGGGGGGGGGACCAAGGACGATTGGCGTTCCAGTGAGCAAACAAGAGTGTGGCAGATGCTACAATTTATTTATTTTTTAAATCGAATTTCCCCATCCAGGTTAAAAAAAAAAGGGGGGGGGAATGATGTCTCTTCAAAAATGGAAAGTTGACTTTCTCCAGTGAGCCAGCAGAGATTACTAGGGAAAGGGCAAGGATGCCCTCAGCTGGCGATCTGCAGCAAAAACAGCCTTTCCTCAGGAAGCTGCAGAGGGGAAGAAATGCTTAATCTCACTCCTGCTGTGATTTGTACAGTATGTGCTAATCGCTATGAGGGCTTGGAACAATTGAAAACATTGCCGGGGAAATCTTGTTAGAATAATGACACAATGGCTTGTTGTTGCAGGGCGGGGTTGCAGGGTTGTGGCAGTGGAGAACAGCCCCGTTTAGAATTAGGTTTTCTTTCTCTTTCTTCGTTTCAGCGAATTTTATTACGTAGCTGTCATTTCAGACCTAATGCATATCCTTTTTCCATTTTCAAGGGCCGCTTTAGCATCAACCTTTCTGGAACCGGCCTGTCCGTGACACAAACGTCAAAATGGCTCTCCCAAGGGAATTACGCGGTTTCTGAAATTATAAAATCACCAGTAAGGAAAATCTTTTAACTTGCAGCTAATTGTGACATCGTACCTGTTAACCTATCAAATTGTATTGTAATGTACCTTTGTAAATTGTGCCTTGTACATATGGGGCGGTGGGGGGGAGAGTTTAAAATAACCTCTTGAATTCTAATGTGAAGCATAAGAACTGTGAAGCATGGTCTGTAATTGGTGGGTTTAGAGCCACAGACTGGAGTAAATTCAACTTGATCTGTATTATTGCTATTAATTAGTGGGTCTGCTTAACCGTGAAGCTAAAAACACTGAGCACAGTGGTGCAGACACTTCTTTAATTAGTTGTCTGAGTCCTCAGGAAGCATGCAGTTGGGAGCCTGCTCTAACAGTGCTACTGAGCATAATAAAGCACCAAAGAGATTACTTTCCAGTGCCTGCGGTTTTTCACCTCCCTCCTCCTATCCTTGTGGATCCAGGTAAACAATAGCACCGTAAAGCCTCTATTTAGCACTGGTTATGTGTTAGTATGTTTTCCACATCTGTGGCACTTTTCAGCACACAAAATGCAATAATTGTAAAGGGGGGAAGTCCTTACAATGCCCACTGGACAAGGGTAGGCTGAGGGGGTTTCTCCTTCCCCAAACCCACCCAGTGAATGCTATTGATAAGCAAGAAGTTGGGAACCACAAGGCAGTTCATACAGCCTCTTGTCAAAACAAGGACCTTCATTTTTCCAGAATACCAAACTGGCCTTCGTACCTCATGTTGTTGTTTAGTCGTTTAGTTGTGTCCGACTCTTCGTGACCCCATGGACCAGAGCACGCCAGGCACCTCTGTCCTCCACTGCCTCCCGCAGTTTGGTCAGACTCATGCTGGTAGCTTCGAGAACACTGTCCAACCATCTCGTCCTCTGTCGTCCCCTTCTCCTTGTGCCCTCCATCTTTCCCAACATCAGGGTCTTTTCCAGGGAGTCTTCTCTTCTCATGAGGTGGCCAAAGTATTGGAGCCTCAGCTTCACGATCTGTCCTTCCAGTGAGCACTCAGGGCTAATTTCCTTCAGAATGGATGTGTTTGATCTTCTTGCAGTCCATGGGACTCTCAAGAGTCTCCTCCAGCACCATAATTCAAAAGCATCAATTCTTCGGCGATCAGCCTTCTTGATGGTCCAGCTCTCACTTCCATACATCACTACTGGGAAAACCATAGCTTTTACTATACGGACCTTTGTTGGCAAGGTGATGTCTCTACTTTTTAAGATGCTGTCTTGGTTTGTTCGTTCCTCATACCTAGAGCCATTTCAAACACGTCAAACTGATTAATGCAAATACTGGGCTTGATATTTTCAAGAATCAAATGGGTTTGCCACACGCTAGCAGACTCCATACAGAGTCCCAGGCATACAAGACTGCAGAGATGGAATGGCCCAGAGAATGTATGTGTCTACCTTGCCATTAGTGGCTGGCTTCACTGTGCTGGCCTCTGAACCAAGAGAGCTGTTGGCCCGTTTGAGCCATTTGCCATCTCAGCTGCCGCAATTAAAATGGCAAAAGACAAGTGAAAAATAAAAGACATTAGGCTCATCTGGAAAGGGACAGCGCAGAGAGGGACCTTTTGACGGGAAATCTGAAGCAACCGAGATGAGTGCTGAGCACAAAGACCGAGGGAGTCCCGGCTGACCAAATTAAAGCAGAACCGAAGAGGCAATCGATGTAGGGCACATCACGTTACCTGGCTCACCTGTGAGGCACAGCTCTTGAAGCGTAGGTGGCAGGAGAATATGAGAGCAAAGATGCTCTTAGGAGGTGGTAGCAGCATCAACAGATCAATAGTATCAAGCGCAGAAGCTTCATACACCACAGCGTAACAACAACAAAAAGGCTTGGAAAGTCGTCCATTGAGCTTGGTCGAGCTTTGATATATTTTGCTGCTTCTGAGTGTAAAAACATACGAAGGTAGAATAAGCTATCAGCCACGCAACGGGGTGCGGAAGGCTTTGCTGTGGTTTTACGTATGCTAGCGTAGATTACGCTGGCCAGAATTTGATATCCGCTGAACTGCGGAAGGGAGAGACTGTGTGTTACTTTGTATATATTAGAATTTCATTAATATTCACAATATTTTAAAACGTTGGCACGGGGATCAGTTTAGGATGGGCTGGCGGTTTTTCTTGCATGTCCTTTTTGTCTTCAGTGCCAGGTAATTGCTTCCCACCCTTCCCACCATTGCAAAATAAACACATATTTTAAAAGCAGATATTCCCCACGTTGTGCATGCGTTGGGGAAATATCAGAAACCAATACCCTGTGGGTTCAGCCTGGGCAGCCAGTTAGAGCCTGACTCCAGTTGTCAATCAAGCAGGATGTTTGTTTAGCCATTGCAAGGCCAGTGTGACTCAACCTTAAGCAAAAAGTCATTGAGGGGTGGCACATCAAGTATGAAAATAGCACAAGCATTTATACACTTAAAATCAAAGGGGGAGTTAGGACCACATATGGCAGTGCTTCCTTCTACTAGCTTCTATTGGTTTAACCACAAGGCAAAGCAACTTTCCCTCCTTCCTTTGTCCTCAGCAGTTATAAGCAATAGCTCCTGCATACATGTTGTTCCAACCTTCTGTCATGGTTCTCCTGCAAACACAATGTTCACGTCCCAACCTTCGCTTGCTCAGCCTTTCTCACACACATTTCAGTTTTTAATTGTATTTCCAATTTTTAACCTAGGCTTACTCAAAAGTAAGTTCCATTGTCTCTAAAAAGACTTGCTTCCCAGTTAATGTGTTTACGGTCACAGTTCTAGTCTTATTTGATACAGTTTTTGGTTGCTTTCTCCTGAGATCTGCTTTGTGATTTTACTTACAGGATGGTACCAAAGTAATAGGGAAATGTGGCGGCTACTGCGGAAAGTGTACTCCATCATCTGGAACTGGCCTCGACGTACAAGTGTTGTAGCAATGGTAAGTTCAGATTTGTGCATTTTACTATAATGCACTACATTTGTGGTGGTAACCTGGCACCAAATCAGGTAGACATTTACTTCAAGTGAAACTTCGTTCCACGGATTCAGGCTTTGCATCATAACCCCACAGCTCAAAACTATGGTGCATTGAGCGAGCAGCTAAGCTTTAGGCAGTTGGATATAACGATCCCAACTGATTCAGGCTTAATGACATAATTGAACTTAGCACAGCGGGATAGCAACCACCAGCTACTGCATTGCCCACATAGGAGGGATGGGGAATGCAATTTTCTCTGCATTGTTGGAGAGAGGAAATTCAGTAGGTTAGCAACACACATCACAGTACCCTGGGAACTGAAAAGAAAGCTGGTACAACCCTGTGTTTTCCCCCTTGTCCAATGCTGGGACCTCGCTTTAGCTTTAATTATAGTGTGTCCATTGCTAATTTAGCCCTCAACATGTGCAGAAAGTAGTGCCACTGAACTCCTTTCATGCAATAGCTGTTGGGCTTCTTCATGACGCAGCCAGGTGGAAATAGTACCAGCCATGAGATTGCAGCCATCTTGGCAGCTCCCCAAGTTTGCACCAAGCTTGTGGGAATGGCTGCCAGTCACCTGAATATTGCGCATTGCTGGGGGCGGTTGGACTAGGTGACCCTCGAGATCCCTTCCAATTCTTCCACTCTTGTGTGCAGCCCATGGAGAATAATCAGCATTACAGAGCCCAAGCGAAATGGCACAACAGTGATTTGGTAACATCAGGGCTTACTCTTGAGGACGTTACTGTTCGAATGGAAATCAAAAGCATCTGGCCCTGATTCAGCTGTGCAACTAAGAGTAGAGGGAAACAGTGAGCCCTGTTCATATTCCTTGCTGTGCAGATAGCTGCCTCTGTGAAGGGCTGGGTTGCGCTTTTCTTTTAAATGCATTAATAGTGCTGAAAGTAGAGATGAGAACTCTCCATTATGCTTTTAATTCCCAGGGTTTCTGATTGCCGGGAGCTGAAGCAAGTCAGATGAAGGACAATGAAGCAATACCTCTGCCTTCCTTTTTGTACTTCTTCCTCTGTGTGTGTGTGTGCGCACATCCAAATATGTGTGTGTGTGTACCTGTGTGTGCAAGTGTGTGCGTATGTATGTGTGTGTGTGTGTGTGTGTATATATATTGTATATTCTTAATGTTGTAAAGTATAATATTTATGTCTCGAATTATTTATTTTTGATTTAATATTTTTGTACGTAAAATGTTTATATTAAGGCTGCTTATTCTGTGTGTTTTTTTTAATTTTTTTAAAAAATCCTGCAGTCACACCACTGCATTTTACGTACTCTACATTATATGTAGCATTATGACAAAAGTGATACTTTTACTGTCACTGTACTCAATTGTTTACTTTCAATCAGTAATTTCTCTTCCTGTTACAGGCTGCACTGATATTTGCAAGGTGCTAAACGGTTTGCATTGGGGTATTTTTGGCATTTTTTTCTTATGAGCAAAAGAATACAATGGTGATTGTGATGATTATTTTTGAAACTCACAAGGCAATCAGCGCTACACAGGGACTCAGTGAACACACATTATGATACAATGGTTTTATCAACAATTGTTTCTTAGGTGTGTTTTTTTAATGGCATGTGACCTCTTTTGGCCAGTGCTAACAGCTACTGGTTTGGTGCTAACATGGTAATATTTATTAGTATCCTGTAGGCTTTAAAAGCTGAATCCCGTACCATACTATATAGCCATGGAGAACGAGTAAGTACATTAGGGAAAATTGAGGGTGCGTTCAGATATTTAGTCTGAGGCAGCATTTAATAAAACAAAGTGTTCTATGGAATCCTAGTATTCTCAATCCTTCATAAAGAGCTCCTTCCCCAAAGAAAAGATACATAACATTTGCCTGAAACTATTAACCTTGCATTGTGCATCCACAGGAGACTACTGGTGTAATACTAGGGTGTACTTGCAGTTTGGATGGGGCAACAGCCCCTAGTCCTGTGACCAGCACCCCATTGTGAACCGTTTGTACTCCCTTCCTTTGTCCTGGGATCCTGTGGCAGACACAGTGATATAGAAACAGATCTCTCCTCAAGTGGAGGAGGCCATCAAGACTGGGAAATGTCCTATCTTCCAGGCCTCAGATGTGATCACCTCGCATTCTTCTGGATGAGTTTCATCCCCAGTTGACTTCCTGCATCATAACTGAGAGGCAGGCTCCGTTGAGGCTCCGGGAGTTTGAACAAGAACCAAGAAAGAAATCTACAGATGGGGAAAGAAGCTGCAGCACCAAAGATGATTTCAAACAAGTAGCCAAAGCTTGTAGGGAGAATGTTAGGAAGGCTAAACCTCAGAGGAACTTGACCTTGTGACAGATGTTAAAAATAGTTAAAGGGGATTATATTTTTGCTCTGTTTGGGGCAATAGGAAGAATAAGGGAGTGGTAGATCAGCTGAGTAGAGAAGATGGAGAAATGTTAGTGAGTGAAAGAGAAGGCAGAGATGTCCACCCCCAACTTGGCCTCACCTTCTCCCTCAAAGAAACCTGGAGAAAGTAGATCAGTCTTTGAGTTTTTGAAGGACTGTGACATAGATGATGGAGCAAATTTGTATTCTGTTCCTTCAGATGGTAGGACCTGAACCAGTGGGTTCAAATTGCAGCAAAAACAGTTCCTGTTTATCCTGTCCCAGCATATTGAGGGACACTTTGGAAAGACCATAGGCTACAGCTTCTCAGGCCTTCCCCCTATCCCATGCCCTTCTGCAGTAAAGATGCACACCCCAATCCACTCATGCACAAGGGAGAGCAGAAGCTGGGTGGGGAAACGCTGCTGAGATGGGGCCTGACTGCCCTAAAGGATCTCTGTTGCAGCAGACCAAAGACTCTCCTGCAAGAGGATATAGCAATGCCTGGCAGAAGCCTCCAATATTGCTCCCATGGAGCAAAAGAGTAGAGATGTTTGCCAGCTGGTCTGCTCCCCCTGATGGAGTGTCACGCCCTGGCAGGCAATGGAATGTCCCTTTTCCTAGCAGAAGGAGAAGGCCTCCACCGCCAAATTGATGAGGTGGCTTAAGGTCACAGTCAACTGCTGTCTTAGTCAAACTCATACCAGAAGCAGGGGCTCCAGATCACTATTTCCCTCAGTCACAGGGGTGAGTGCTACATCTGCAGCAAGTCCAGGCTAAGGCCTAAGGCATAGGGAGTGTTCCAGAAAAAACTGAAATGGTTGCTGCATGGGATCAGTGTTAGGTTAATCCCACAAATCATAGTTGAAGCCGAATAATTAACCCTGGGTTCAGTTCCCAAAATGAATCCTGTTTTCTTTTTAGTGAGTGTTTCAAGGTTTGGGAAACGAACGTACTTCTGAAAAAATATGAATTATCAAGAACCCCAGTACTCCTTGAAAGCATAACACACATTTCAAATGTGTACATAGAAATTCAATTTTTTTTAAATGGTATCAAAATTTGATGTTTTTTATGCAGAGTGAACTGTGTTTCCTCTTCTGTGTCAGAAATTCAGTTTTAGCCAATTTCTTTTGGAAACCAAATTATCTTGACTTCAGTCAAACTCTATTCGTGCCTCACTAGTAGCATGCAAAAACAAATGACCCAGCATACTGATTCATATCCCCACCCCTGTCAAAAGGAGAACCCAGCGCTAATGAGTATAGATGGGGTCTTACAGGTGGATAATATGGATTCATATATGCATCTGTATGCATGCTATGGCTGTTTCTGTGAAAGGTTTCTCCCATGTCTTGGATCTTCTAGCTGTATCATAGCATGTAATCTCTGTCAAATTGGGTGTGGGAAACGCCCTCCCATTCTCAAAAAATTTTAAGTTTACATGTAGAAATAAAGATGCCTTTCATTTGCTAGATTTAAATCATGCAGAATATAATTCCCACTCTAGATAAAGCCATCTGTTCAGTTCAGTTGGTTGCGTAGGAATGGGGGAAATTATTGGATTTCTCTCCAGAAATAGGACGGTGGTTGCCCCCGAATCAAACTCTTAGCAAGGCTCAAGCATGGTATCCAGTTGGCAGAACAAGATAGGCATCATATGTTGAGAAGGTGCCTAGAGAAGGTTCCTTCCAAAATGTGCTTTGTTATCTGCAAAATTAATATCTCTATTCCCCCTTTCTTTTTTACTAATTTTACACACCTTTTTTGGCTTCATGGGGCCCCACGATGGTCACTAGTTGTTGTGCACAATTGCTTCCACACAGTTACAGTTGGATCAAGGACAACTCGTGTGGAAGATCCATAGCTGTCAACGTTTCCCTTTTCTTGCAAGGGATCCTATTTGGAATAAGGGAATTTCCCTTTTAAAAAGGGAAAAGTTGACAGCTATGGGAAGATCTGGGGGACAGTTTCATGTCTCCTCTGAAATGGCTCTTGGGTAGCAACAGTAGCATAAAACTGCCCTTAGTAGAATTGCCGTCTGTCTAAGTAAATAATATTGAGCACAAGGCAGTTTTGTATGTTCACTCCCCTGATCTAAACTTCTAACTAAATGTTTTTGCTTTCTGCTGTTCAGATGAAGGAGGCTGCACTTCATTTAGCTCCACAGGTAGTAAAACTATTCTCTGCATAATTCATGTTAGCATAAGTCTCGCAAGAACTGAATAAATCCATATCTCAGGCAAGCTAAGCTCTTCAGATACATGGTTGGTTTTTTATTGTTTTAACAAATGCATGGTGGTAATGTTTGTGTACTACTTTGAGAAAATGCCAAAAATACCATTTCAAAGTACATTCTAGGAAAACCATGAGTAGTTTAAAGGAGTAGTGATTTTTTTTAAGCCCACCACTTATCCTTAAAGATCTTCTTTCTATAGGGAAAAGGGGAAATTGCACTATAAGCATTAGGACAGAAACAATGGTGCTTAATTGATATTTAGAAAATTGCAATCTGCTTTTTATTTTCAGTAATGAAGTGACTGAGTATTTATACAAAGAAATATTATTAAGGGGGGAAATCTATACATTCCTTTATACTATGTAGTATCATAATGGCTATCAACAACAGTGCAAAGAGGAAGCCTTAAAATTATAAAATGAAAGGAAACTGTTGATAGATACTAATTTGTAGTGTGCCTGATGGGGTTGGTTTGTTTTGCAAAAGGAGGACCACTGAATGATTAGACACTTCCTGTAAAGTAAATATATAATTATTTCTCTCTTGTTGTACCAATGCCATTTTTTAAAATGAAAATAACTTTTGCAAGCACTTTCGTTATTTTGCTTCCTTTCTACCTTTTCTGTTCCTTCTTTCATTTGGACTATCAGAAAGAAAACAAAAATTGTGTTTTTAAGTTTGTGTGGTCTTCCTTTGTTCACCAGCATCATCCGCAATCGCTTGCGTGGTATCCTAGAGGCAAAACACACTGCACACATGGGATTAATAACATGGGTTTTTTAAAAAAAGAATACTGTCAGATCTTGCAATGGCTGTATTCATTCCTGAGGAAGCGAAAGAAGATCAGGGGACACTGGGTGATGCGAGCAGACATTTCAGGAGAAGATTCAGGGCTGGCATCAGAGGTGGTTATAGCTGGGCACCTGCCACTATCAATGTTCCTTTTCCCCCCCAAATGCTTTTTATTGAGATTTAAGAACACCAACACCAACCAACAAAAACATCAAAACTAATTACATATATGCTACTTTATGCTCCATAGAGCCGTTGACTTCCGTCCTTCCCTTCCGCAAGTTTTCTTATTCCAATCTATAATTCACAGTTTCATTGGTTACAGATTACACTGTGACATAAGATTTAATTCAATCCTGCCAACGTTTTCATATTTCTACAATTCTCACTTATATAAATCATAAATTTACTCCATTATTTTTGGTACTTCGTCTCCTCCTGATTGCGAACTCTGTGGGTCAATTTTGCCATTTCAGCGTATTCAACCAACTTTATCTGCCATTCCCTTACAGTCGGGATCTCCTGTGCCACTATCAATGTTCCAATAGGAAATCCCCACAAATCTCTGGAGCTGCCTAGCCAAATGCTTCCAGATCTCTTTGGCCCTTGAGACTCTCCTAGGCCATGTTCTCTTTTGGAACATGTTGTTGAATTGTAATGTCTCTGGCATGCCTGGGTAAGAAGCTGGTGGGTATGTCTCTGACTTTCGCACGGCTGGAATCCAGGCTAATTTGCATCTGTTGCTCCACCTACTTTTGCCTTACCCTGCCTCCATGTGCCCATTAGAAATTGCAGCCCACAAACTGATAAACATTGCCAATCCTTAGAAGCTTTTTGGGTCTGTGTTTCTGTTTTGTCGCTGACAGTAGTGACCGGTGTGGTTGGGCAGAGTCGCAGTGTTACCGTTCCGACACCATTGTTAATGCAGTGTACCAGGGCAGCACTGGTATGTGCAGGGTGGATGGGGTCAAGGCTGCATGGATTCACCTGCAGGAGCATTGGATGGGCACTGCCTGTGCATCTGCACAGCCCCAAATTCACTAGCTTGCCTCAGCACCATCCATGTAAGCTGCGGCAATGCTGGTGTCTGGAGGGCCGCTCTGCACTGGCTCTTCCTGGTCACTGAGACATTCCCCCATTGCCCAAAGTAGATGTTCCTCATATCCCTTCTCTGGAGACCACACCTTTGGAAATGGATGTACCACACTCAAAGGGATCCAATTAACAGTGGCTGTCGCTATCTCTAGAGCTATCCTAAGGGTGGGACGTGGGTGGTGCTGTGGGTTAAACCACAGAGCCTTGGACTTGCCGATCAGAAGGTCGGCGGTTCGAATCCCCGCAACGGGGTGAGCTCCCATTGCTTGGTCCCTGCTCCTGCCCACCTAGCAGTTCGAAAGTGCAAGTAGATAAATAGGTACCACTCTGGCGAGAAGGTAAACGACGTTTCCGTGCACTGCTCTGGTTCGCCAGAAGCGGCTTAGTCATGCTGGCCACATGACCCGGAAGCTGTACGCCGGCTCCCTCGGCCAATAAAGCGAGATGAGCGTCGCAACCCCAGAGTCGGTCACGACTGGACCTAATGGTCAGAGGTCCCTTTACTTTTACTATCCAAAGGGTCTCTGCAAGCTTGGGCCTTTCTAGCAGATCCTTCCCCCTTTTGAACAGCAAGTCCCCCATGCAATGCCACAAATCACTTTGGGAACAAAAGAAGAAGCAAGAGCTTTCTTGGGCATGCAGAACAAATCGTTCCATCTGTTGGACCCAGGCTTACGCGTTCCAAATGATTTGGGTGCTTCAAAAAACCACATGCAACCCACATTATGAAGTTGTTTTATTTTTCAGATGTTGTAACGATTTTCTGCTTGAATAAAGTCCATTATTTTCTTTCTTAGTTTGGAAGCCTGGTCTTCCATTCACCATCAATTTAAACCAGAATGAATAATATAGACCACAAGATTTCCATTCATTCATTCATCTTTATTTGACAAACCTTGGTGCCAGAGCAAAGCCACTAGGGTGGTCACATGCAAAGGCAGACAAGGCTTCTGCAAAAGGGGGAAAGGTCACGACCTTGCCACACAGTAGGGGAAACCTGTACATGCTGCAAGTCCTATCTTCCACACCAGTCATGTAGAGGAGGCAGAATACAGGGGATCACAGCTCCAGGACTTTTTTCAGTGATGCCTTCTGCTGGAGCATGAGGGAAATTGGCATATCCCCCTTTGCAAACGAATGAAGTGATAGGCTTTCGAGTTCTTCAATATACAGCCGTACCTTGGAAGTCGAACGGAATCTGTTCCGGAAGTCTGTTTGACTTCCAAAACGTTTGAAAACCAAATCACAGCTTCTGATTGGTTGCAGGAAGCGCCTGCAGTCAATCAGAAGGCGCGGAAGCCCCATCAGACGTTCGGGTTCCAAAAGAACGTTCGCAAACTGGAACAATCACTTCTGGGTTTGCGGCATTTGGGAGCCAAACGTCCAAGTTCCAGGGAGTTTGACAACCAAGGTACGACTGTATTATTATTATTATTATTATTATTATTATTATTATTATTACCACCATCATCATTTATTAAATTTGTATACCACCTTTCATCCAAATATTGCAGGGCAATTTACAATAGGAAAATACAAAATGAGAACAACATACATAATAAAACCAAAGCAAACCAATAACCCCTCTCACACACATATTTAAAAGGCCATAGAGTGCCATTTAGGTGGTAATACCTCTGCAAGATGGTTTGTATTTCAATTTAAAAACTTCAATTTAAAATCACAAACCAATGTGGAGAAGTATACATAAGAATATAAAAAAGAAGCTGAGAAACGGAAAGAAACCAAAATGGATGGATTCGCTGATCCCTTCTTGCATATGGAAATTTACCACTACACAACCATTCTGTGCAATCCTATACAGGTGCTCAGATCTACTTTCCTGCTTCCGCTCATTTCTAATAAACTTCCAGTACTTCCATAATAGCAAACTCCAAAGCAAGCTCTCTTGGGGGAACGAAACCTGAGACCGGGGTTGCATATAGATACTGGAGCCAAGCTATAAGGAAAGGAGTATCCAGCGGAAACATTTGCAAAGTATGATGATAATAATCACTGAAGAAATTCAAAGGGGGGCGGTTTAAAAGAAATCATTCAAAGGAAGATAAAAAGTTTTGGCAAATGCTTCACACATTTCGGCTGGATTGCAGAAGCGATTACGGTTTTCCATGTACAGATTTATAAAGGAAGTTAATGAGATGAATAAAAATAGCCTTCCCAACCCCCCAAATTCTGGAACCCCCAAATGGCCTTTCTGGTCAATTTCCTGCAACACATGGATTAACTATTTCCTGCTCCCGTCCCCTCATCTCCCGTTATGAACCTCCACAGTGTTTATTGGCCAGACTGAATGTGTTCAGGGATGGGTAATCCCAATGATCATAATAAATCAGAGCAAGAAAAGCAAGGCGACCGCAGCCACAAGTCCCTGGATGTTCTCGTAGCAATCCCTGACTCCTGGATAACCTTCTTGGCTGTTTCCTCAGCACACTGTCACGGTTTCGCTCTCTTTCAAGTTAGTTAGCGTCTCTGTTAACCTTTCCTGATATATCCCTTCGGCGATAGCAAAGCGTCTGGAGGCGGGTGATGTATTGGTGATAATGCCAAGTGTGTGAACTTTGTATTCTGCAAATTGCTTAAATGCACTGAAGACATTAAGCACATGCCTTGTAGGAACCTTGAGGAATTGCATTTAATCAGCTGAAGATTAGACCTTCCTTATGGTCAGGAGATGTATGTTGTGATAAGCCTGCTTCTCAGGGGAAACGGAGATGCGTTCGTGAAAGGTGGCACTCATTATTCATCACTCACCCCCTCCCCTTCCTCTGTATCTTTCTTGCTATCAAAACTTAGAATATAACCTCCTCGCGGGCAGAAACCTATGTGTGGGAGAGAGGCGTGCTTGTAAAATCAAGAAAAGAAAAACCCCATACTCCGCTGTTCCTGCAATGGGTGCAGAAGTCAATAAATTGCTACTGCCTGCAAAAAAAATGCCACTTATAGAATTATAGAGTTGGAAGGGCCATCTAGTCCACCCCCCTGCGATACAGGAACTTCAACTAAAGTATCCAAGACTTCTCTTACTTCCTTCAAATCCCTCCTCAAAAGTCATCTTTTCTGTGAAACCTTTGGCTTTATACATGCACACAGACAGGCCCACCCTGTTCTCATGTCCTAGTATAGAGAGCAACAGTGTGGTCCCGTGTGTGTGTGTGTGTGTGTGTGCGTGCGTGCGTGCATGCATGCATGAGTGAGTGGGTGTACAATGCCATGCTCAGATTTCTCCCTATTAACATTTAGAGATCTTCCTCTGTCTGCTTCACCCCAGACAGAACACATTGGTGCACACCGTCCTCAGCAGTTTCCAGAGAAACCTCTTTCAACAGCCATTCGCCTGACACACACACAGAGAGAAGAACAGAAAACAGTTAAAAACGACAGTCACAGGAATAACAGTCACAACAGAACGGAATGCCCCTCTTATGTGGCTCACAGTCAGCCAATCACATGAGAGAGCTACTGCCCAAGGAAAACCCCATGCTAAAAACAAAACAAAAATACACAACAATTCAACACAAGCAAACATTCACATTTCAGGACATTAAACCATTATACTTAACAGTTCCCACTCCTCCCCCCCCCCTTGCAAATGTTGAGGTGTGCAACACCCATTACCCCAGACAGCATAGCCAATGGTCAGGAATCATGGTAAGCGTAGTTTAGCAATATTTGGAAGGCACTAC